ACCCTCCATATAACCAGCAGGGAAAGGTTTAACAGCTGCCCAGGAATTCTCACCTTAGTGCCCATCCCTGTCCCCTTATGCCTGGAGCCTGGGGGGGCTTAGCTGCCCTCCCCCCCCCAGGCTACTCCAGCAGCTCCGCTCAGCTCAGACTCTCTGCCTCCCTTCCACTAGTCCCGCCTCCTTTCTGCTAGCCCCGCCTTCTTTCCGCTAGCCCCGCCTCCCTTCCACTAGCCCAGTCTCTGTGAGTCCCTCCGGCTTCTCCCCCCCAATCTCTCTCCATGTCCTTCCTCTCTTAGCCCTGCTGGGGGAGCCGATCCCCTCTGCTCAGCGCCCGCCCTCGCAACCAACACCCCTCCAGGCCGCAGCGCTTGGCACTGACCCTCCTGCCCCCCCTTCCCTGCAGGATCCCCCTGGAATGGAGCCTGCACCCCACCAGTGGGTAACAGGAGCCCAGGGCCTTCTGGAGGGGGCAGGATCTGGGACCCAGCTATCGTGTGGGTCACAGGCCCCCCAGATTCCCTTCGCCCACAGCTGGGGGAGTCGTTCCCATCCGGGCAAAGCAGGCGAAAATGCCCCCACCCACCTCCTGGGGGCACTTTGCACCCTGCACCGGGGGGTGACGGGGTCTCTGCCCTCCATGGCTAAGCATCTCCGGACCTGGTTCCTGGGACCAACCCCCCCTGCCTCTCCCACCTCCACGGCAAGCGAGATGGGGCTGGGGCGTGGTTCTGTGAACCCCCCGGCCCAGCTGAGGGGACCAGGCCGTGGTCCTGAGCCCCCCCAGGCCAATCAGAGGGGACCGGGCCGTGGTTCTGGACCCCCCGGGCCAATCAGAGGGGACCGGGCCGTGGTTTTGGACCCCCCAGCCCAATCAGAGGGGACTGGGCCGTGGTTCTGGACCCCCCAGGCCAATCAGAGGGGACCGGGCCGTGGTTCTCCAGCCCTCCCCAGTTTCCAGGAGAAGAACCGTTACGTGACGACAAAAGTCCAGGTTTGTGGCTGGTTTTGAGTGATGCGGCCGGGCGTCTCCCCCATGCCTGGCGGGTGTGAGCCCCACGCTAGGCTCCCCGCCCAGCCCCTCCGGCGCCTGTCACAGCCTCCGCTCTGCACCCTGGAGAAGCTGCACGCTGGCGCTGGGGCTTGTGGGTAGATCAGTGGGGCAGCTGGCAGAGGGAGGAGTGGGGAATCTCGCCCGGCCCCGGGTCACTAGCTGCTAGTCCGGTGCTGCTTTAGCACTGTATAAACGTCGTCCACTTTGCTGAGTCCCTCAAAGAAAGGCAGCAGGTCCAGGAGCTCCGTGTCGGCCATGTTATCGAACCACGATGCCACCGGCACCTGCGGAGAGACCCCCGGGAGGTTAGCCGGGCGCGGTGCCTACGCAGCACGGGGCAGAGCCAGCCCTCGCAGGGTCCCCGGGCAAACCTGCTGGAGTCTCAGCCAGGGGTTCCTGCCTCACGCAGCCATGAGCGGCCCGTGGAGCCGGCAGCCTGCCCCAGGGCATGCTGGGAGACAGGGGCCTCCAGCACTGGAAATCCCCATCCCCGTACCCTTTCTGCACCTGGCGGGGGGCATCCCAGCGAGCTGTGCCAGCCAGCCAGGCCATGGGAGGAGTTAACCTGCCATCCCGGCCAATCGGATCCTGGGCTGCCACCCGAAATCTGCCCTGCTGCGTCACCTTCGCTTCCTGTCCTAAATGGCCGCACGGTGGCTGCCAGCCCCACCCCAGAGGCAGCTGCAGCTCAGCCCGGGGGGAGGGATCCCTCGACACAGATTCGCCAGGACGTCGGGCCAGCCCCAAGGGAGCCCCCCCGACTCAGCAGCTCTAAGAGGAAATGAAGGGCCAGCTGGCCCGGGGCCCGGTGGGACAGTGCCAATATCCCGGGACAGACGGCAGCGTGCTGGGAGCGAGCCAGACGCCAGCTCAGAGAAAGCAGCATCTGTGAGTGAGGGGGAGAGGGGGTGGGGGAGGCAGCCCGGGGACTCTCTGAGCCTTCAGGAGCTCTCCAGTCACCCTGCCCTTCCCCTTCTGGGACCACCGGGAGCAGTCTGATTCTCTCCACTGCCCACGGGGGCCACCCGGCATTTCATGTCAGCAGCAGGACTTGAACGCTGCTCTGAAAGCCCAGGCCCCTGCGCTAAGGGAGACTCCCCATTTGCTGTAAACAGTACAGGGCATATGACACACAGGTGAGCAGAGCCGGTTCAATCCAGGAGGGGGCTGCTGTCCTGGCCCTGGGCTCCTCCCAGACACACAGCTCGGCCAATGCCCCTCACTCCCGATCCCCAGCCCTGGGACAACGTGAACTGAGTTACCCCAATAACCCGTCCCTCTGGTGAGTATGAAGCAGTCGCGTCACTGGGCTGAGACCCCCCCGAACTCATCGCGCCTGAACCAGGCCCCGGACGCAAACAGCCAGTGAGAGCATTGAACCCGCTGAGCCACTGCAGCTGCCCCCCCCCACGCCCGCTACCTACCGCGTTGTCGGGGTGGAAGATGTAGGAAGCCGGGGAGTTGTCCACGATGATGATGCGGCTCAGGTCCCGGCCCAGGCGGCTCAGGTCCTTGACGTAGTTGCCGCGGTGGAAGACGCAGGACTCGCGGAAGAGGCGGGCGCGGAAAGCTCCCCATTTGTCCAGCAGGTCAGCCACGGGATCCGCGTACTGGGGGGCCGGGGGGACACGGTCAGGCTCGGCCGAAGGGGAGCAGGGGAGGGGCCGAGCCCCGGGGCCTTTGGCTGCTGGCCGAGGGCACTCGGGGGTCCCCCGTCTCAGCCCCTGAGAGCACGGGGGTGCCTCCTCAAGCAGCAGCTGCCCCAAAGCCATTGCGCAGCTTTCTGGGCACCCCCCATCCCCGAAGCATTGTGGGGACACCGCGGAGGAGGGGGCGAATGAATGGCTGAACTGGAGGGACAGCTTGGTCTAGTGATCCTGTGTCCTATCCTGGCTCTGGGAGGGGCGTGAGGGCTAGTGGTTGGCGTAGGGCCGGCTGGGAGCCAGGACTCCTGGGTCCTTTCCTGGCTCAGGAAGGGGCGTGAGGGCTAGTGGTTGGCGTAGGGCCGGCTGGGAGCCAGGACTCCTGGGTCCTATCCTGGCTCTGGGAGGGGCGTGAGGGCTAGTGGTTGGCGTAGGGCCGGCTGGGAGCCAGGACTCCTGGGTCCTATCCTGGCTCTGGGAGCCCCGTCTCCGGTGCTGTAGCTGGGGGGAGGGCGCGACGCCTAGCGCGTGGAGCAGGCCGACGCCCGCAGGCTGCCCGGCGTGGGGCGCTCACCTTGGCCAGGCTGGCGGTGAAGAGCACGCACTCGAAGAGCTCGCCCATGCGCCGCAGGAACTCGTCCACGTACGGGCGCTTCAGCACGTATACCTGGGGGAGGGGCAGTGTCAGCCGGCGGCCGCGGGGCTGGAGACGGGCAGCGCCCAGCAAGATGGGGCCCCGTCGCCTGGGACCAAGCCCCCACAGAGCCACCGAACGGCTGACAACCCCCCGGAGCCACCCACCGTCCCAGGGGCTGGGGGGAGAACCCGGGGCAGGCTTGGGGGGGGCAGGGGAGGTGCCAGGCCTGCCATGCCCCGAGCTCCTTTGCAGCAGCGGGCGCCCTGCGGCTCCCCAGGCGGCGTCTCTCCGGCGTCTCCACCCGAAGCTGCCGGCCGGCTCCGGCGCCAAGTAATCGAGAACAGGCCGACTGCGCAGACCACAGCCTATCCTGGATTACTTGAACCCGGCGCCGGCCTCCGTGCGGGGCGAGACCTGCCTGCGGAACAGCGCCAGACGGTGGGAAAGTCAGCCTGGGGCTCCCCCCGCAGGAAACCTTTGGCTGCCAGCCCCCCGCCCCCGAAAAGGGGGAAGGTGGAGTTGCGGGGGGAACTGCTGCCCCAAAGAGCCAGGCAGCCCCACGATCTCCGTCCCAAGGTCACTGCCCCCCACCCGGGCTCTTGGAACCAGCAGGGCTCCCCAGTGCCTGAGCTCCCCCTTTCTTGGCTGGGCACCCCCAGGGTTGGGGGAGGGAGAGGGCGCTGGCTCCCTGGTCTCCCCAGCAGGGGCTGAGCTCCTGACAGCCCCCATGGGGGTGACGGGTGCCCCACCCCACCACGAGATGCCCCCCCTCACCTGGTGCATGATGCCATCAATCTCGACAGGAATGATGAAGTCGGCGTTGTTCACGGGCTGCGGAGGGCACAGGAGTCAGTGTGGGAGAGGCAGGAGGCACCCGCCTCGCCCCCATGGATCCCCTGACCCCTTCCCTTCACCCACCCATGCCCTCAGCCCCCACCCCTGCGATTCCCCTGGCCACGCCCTCCCCTGGTTCCCATGGTAATGCTGTGGGATTCCCCTGGCCACACCCTCCCCTTCCCCCAGGTTTCCCCTGGCCATGCCCTCCCTGGGTTCCCTGGCAATGCCCTCCCAGCCATGCCAGGTAGATGCCCCAGCCCCCGCGGAGGATCAAGGTTGGGTGATTGCAAAGCTCCTTCCCCGGCCTCAGAAGGGTGGAGCTTGGCCTGGGAGGCTCCTCCCCTTCCCACGGGGACACCCCCAAAACACGGAGCCAGGCTTGGGGCAGATGGGGCAGGGCAGCCCTGCACTGGAGCACTGCATGCTGGGACATGGTGTCATGCTTCTGCCCTGCCCCCACACTGGGCAATACCGCGCCCGACTCGGGACCCAGGGCAGGACTTCGGGGACACCGGGGCAAAGCGAGTGAACGTGCAGGGCTGAGACAGACCCCGAGAAAGGAGAAGGGGAATGGGGTGGTGGGGGAGGACAGTAGGGGGTGGAGCAGACGGAACAGGCTGGACAGGGGAAGGAAGACGGGGGCCAAGTCGGGTGAGGGAAGAAGAACATGGGGGTGGGACACTGGATGGGCGGGAGAGGGAGGACGG